ATTTTGGAGCATGGAACAACTTCAGGGTTCATTTAATCAATCTTTCTGTTCTCATCTAATTTCCAAATACAATAATGGAAACTGAAGAAAGGTAAATGACAGACTAAAGGCCAGACTGTAAATGAACAGCACTGAGGGAAACCTCAGGGATGTATGTTTGGCAATGATAAATTTTGGATGGGTGGGTGCTAGGCCATCCTGGTGGTACACCTATTTCTGGACTAAAGGATCCCTCCTAGTGGTGCTCAGGGGACCACGTGCAGTGCCAAAGACTGAACTGGGATTGAGTAAATGCTTAGCTCCCATATTATCCCTCCTACCCTGACAATGGATTGTAGACCTTAAGCAGAAACAAGCAAATATATTTCTAATAGCCCACAAACTTATTTTAAAGGGCAGAATTATTTCCATTTAATATTAATGGCTCCAAGTAGCATAAAGTATGATTTTTTCTACCTAAGTCTCAAAGACTATTTTAAAATAATAATGGATATAATTGTTATTAGGTTGTAGGCATTGTACAGAGAGATCTGTATTACCTGTCATTAATTCACACATTTATCCATTCACTTTCTCAGGAAACAAGTATTTAACATCTATGATATGCCAGGCAGTATTCTGAACAATGGGAATACTGCTGTGAATAAGACCAAATCTTCACCTCTTGAAATTTAGATTCAAAAGGAGATAAGTAAGTGAACAAGGAGAATCCTATTTTATGTAAATGTTACTTCTATTCCTCCTGGAAATTCATGAACTATAATACAAAAGCATAAATTCACACAAAAATTAGAGAGAAGATGAGAGCAGGGGACAGTGATTTATCAGCACCTCACTGAAGTGAACACAATTTTGGAAACTAAAAAATAGAAGGATATGAATAACTGACTCAGAAGACCACAACAAAGCGAAACATTTACCAGAATCAAGGGAAGTTGGAGAGTTTATACTAAAGAAAGTTCAGAATTCAGAAACCAGATACTTTTGAAGGGAGGAACCAAATATGAGGGTTTGGTAAGAAAATATAACTACGGTATAAGAAGAACTTAGATATAAAAAGACTCTTCAATTTTTTTCCTCTACTCAAAACAGCCAACTGTTAGTGCCTTCCTTTAATTGTCACTAGATATTTGTCAATCAAAAATTTAGCTCCTTAGAAGAAAAAAGGATTTCTCTACAGGAAGGTACATGTCCATAAGAAAAACTTTTCAGCTGGTGTTATGAGTGAGTCCCCAACAAACCTGGCCATATCCCTTACCTGGCATTTTTGTGATAAACTTTGTACATATATGATTCTATTCCTTCCTCTTAAATGCCAGAAATCTAGTTTGAGGTCCAAAACAATGGGGGTGGGAGGTTAAATAATACACTCCTCTAAGGGAATATTGACAAAATAAAAAGTTTACTAAAATATCTAATATTTTCAGAGATAAATAGATAATTTACCCACAAAACAAGAATACAATACAATGTAAAATGAACATCCAAAGAAAAAGAACTCTTAGGATTTAAAAAAATTACCCAGAAAATCAAATGAATAAACAAAAAATTATACAACAACAACAACAAAAAATGGAAATAGAAGTAAATAAAATCAAGCAAGTTAAAGGATCAACTGAAGAATTATTTTGTAATTAGGAGTTGCTGGAAGAGATAAAAAGCAGAAAATAAATGAAAGAAAATGTTATTATTGTTATTAACAATGATCTGGGGCTACTCCCAGCTTTGTATTCAGGGGTAACTCCTGGCAGTGCTCAGGGGCCAGGAATTGAACCTTGGTCAGTCGCACGTAAGGCAAGTGCCTTAACCTCTGCACTATCTCCTGGGTCCTGAAAAGAAATTATTTTTAAAATCTGGGACATTTCCTAGAACTGAAGTAGCACGAGTTTTTAGACTGGGACAGCTACTATAAAGCATTTCCCTTAAAAAAAAAATTGTACACCGGACTTTCACAGTGACTGAAGTCTGGCACTTATCACCTTTTTGTAGGAGGAAAATGAGGTCAAAAGAAGTTAAGGCACTTCAAACACCAAACAGTTTTTGACTCTAAAATAATTAGTGGAAATGGGACTCAAACCCATACCTGCCTGCCTGACTCCAAAACATATGCTTAAATATTGCCTGAAAAATCTCTGGATGCTGACCCTGCTTTCCAGTGGATTGGTGACCCTGCCAGGCCTGTGACAATAGCACACTCATGAGTCAGCCAGAGTATAATTAAGGCAGGAAGGTCAAGGGTGGGGTCCTCTGACCCAATTCTCCTTGAAAAGAGGCCATCTCCTGATATCACTAGGGCACCTCGGAGAGGCCCAGGTGTGTTCCTCCACATGCCCCCAAAAGAACCAGGGTAGCCACAAACCTCCAGAACCCAATTGTTGCCACACTCATGGCCAGCCTTCAGAGGTTTGCCCTGAGCCCCGCAGTCATGGGAGTGAATCTGCTGAAAAACCCAGGTATGCAGGACTTGTGAGTAAAAACTCCATCCATCTCCCTGAACTTCTGCTTTCCTGGAAATCACACCATGAACTGCCTCTGGGCAACATTTAAGCGCATTAACGGCCAAGATCCAGACACACAAATGAATATTGGAAGAGAGCAGCTCGCTACAAAGATGTCTCCGGACCCCAAAATAACCATCACTGTCACTGTCACTTTCCTCCCATTTTTCATGGATTTGCTTGAGTGGGCCCAGTAAACGTCTCCATTGTGACACTTGTTACTGTGTTTGGCATATCGAATACGTCACAGTAACTCCAAATCTAGCACCCTATGAAAAAAAGTTTATCTCATACAATTATTCCACTGATACACCAAAAGTAGCACACCATATTAGATGGGGTGTAAGATTGAAGATAACCAATCTTGATTAGAAAAAAAGACTCAAACGCTAACAACATGTTAATGATCTCTAATACAGGGACTTAATGTATTAAAAGATGAGATAGAACAATTTTCACACACTTTCTTCTAAGGAAACATTTTTGAACATTTTTAGTCAATCATTTATAACAAGCAATACAAAATAAATTACTTAGCATCTGCCTTTTGGTCAGGCTTGGGAGGGGGGTGGTAAAACTCAAAATAATAGCGAGAAAGTGTGATGGTGGTGGATTTGTGTTGAAATATTGAATGTAATCAATTACTATGAACAACTTGAAAATAAAATTTGAAAAAAAATTTTAAATAATAAAAAAAAGAAAGAAAAGAGGCCATCTCCATTATTAGATCTGGGAGATGGATCCAAGTTAGAGTAGTCCTTCCTTTCTTTCCTTCCTTCCTTTCCTTCCTTCCTACCTTCCTTTCTTCCTTCCTTCCTTCCTTCCTTCCTTCCTTCCTTCCTTTCCCTTCTTTTCCCTTCCTTCCTCTTCCTTCCTTCCTTCCTTCCTTCCTTCCTTCCTTCCTTCCTTCCTTCCTTTTCCTTCCTTCCTTCCTTCCTTCCTCTTTCTCCTTCCTCCTTCCCCTCCCTCCCTCCCACCCTCCCTCCCTCCCTTCCTTCCTTCCTTCCTTCCTTCCTTCCTTCCTTCCTACCTTCCTTCCTTCCTTCCTTTCCCTTCCTTTCTCCCTCCCTTCCTCCCTTCCTTCCTTTCCCTTCCTTCCTTACTTTTCCTCCCTCCTTCCCTCCCTCCCTCCCTTCCTCCTTCCCTCCGTCCCTCCCTCCCTACCTCTCTTCCTTCTTTCCTTCCTTTCCTTCCTTCCTTTCCTTCCACCCACTACAAGACTTGAAAATACATTACTTGGGCCAGAGAAATTGTACTGGAGGGTAAGGCACTTGCCTCATGGGCAGCTGACCCCAGTTAAGATTCCCAGCACTATATATTGTTCCCCAAGCACCAGCAGAAGTGATTCCTGAGCGTAGAGCTATGAGTAAGCTCTGAACACTGCCAGGTGTGGCCCCCAAATAAACAAAATAAAAAACTAAATAAACGGCATCAAAAAAAAATTCCCAGCTCCAGTCTGATACATAATCTTACAATTAGGATTCTTAATATGCTCCTCATGATCATAGATGTTTGATGTTCTAATCAGAAAGATTTGGAGTTAGAATTCTATTGATTATTTGGGCTGAAGATACATTTAGGTAATGAAACAGATTTTCTTCTAGTGTTCCAAGAGTTTGGTCAATGGCTCATTCACATCTTTGCCCAGGGGGAATGATTCTAAAGTCTGAGTAGGTTAACGTAAGAGTGGGAGAGGCAGCAGGGAAAGGTGTCCCTTTTTACCCTCTCTCCCCCCAAGTTAGGATTCCTAAGCAATGCTTCATTTCTCTTAGTCCATAGCTGTTAGAGTAGAGCTGGGTGGTCTCATAGAGTCAATATCTGCAGAAGTAAACCATCCATCCAATGTGGATAAAGTGGAGTTGAAACACTGACCTGCAGTAAACACGTTTTCTCCTGGGTTAAGGAATTTTAGCGGTGCTTCTGGCCTAGAGTCACACCAGTTTGATCCCTGACAGTATATTGCTTTCTGTTCCTAAGCCATTGCATGGGCCACCTAAAATGCAAGCACTTGATTAAGGAAAGGAACTCTTAATCTCTTCTTGGCACTCTGTGACTATTTTTTCAATGTGAAGACCCAAGAAGTAAGTTTTACTTGCTCTGTCCTTTAAGAAAAGCACTTATTATGTTGACCTTTCTAAAAAATTTGTTCAGGCAACCACAAAAGATTGGGAGGCAGTGCACAGGCAGACGTGTGGACATGAATGAGGAGATGGTCACAAGCTTGACCCTAGCGTTGAGCTATCCCAGTTGAGTACTTGAAGAGCTTTTCTCTGAGCAACTGCGTCTCCAGTACCCCATAATTATCCTGGCTCTTTGAACTGCATACAGATGGAATAGCTGGAGAAGGGGAGCAAGAGAATAACTCGAGAAGAAAAAAAAATAACAATTATGCAGCTGTCTAGCCAAAGAGAACAGATCACCAACAGAAAATCAGAGAAAGAACTCTGACCATACAAAGCTTTACTTTTTTACTTCTACTTTTTTTCCCCCTTAAAGTCTCTAGTGCTTGCTTCGGCAGCATATATACTAAAATTGGAATGATACGGAGAAGATTAGCATGGCCCCTGCTCAAGGATGACATGCAAATTTGTAAAGCATTTCATATATATATTTTTAAAAAGAAAGTCTCTAGCAACCCATCATTTGCTTGTAAGTACATCTGAGCATCAGCAATACTCATTCCTGAATAGCAGTGAGCTCTGCAACAAGGCGTACTCTGAATTTAGGATCTACTGCTCAGATCCAGATTTAGGGACTGGCTGACCTCAATTTTTTTCATCATCAGCCTCGTACACAAAGTAACACACTTTTGGGAATCAAAAATTTTCTGAATTGAAGTGGCATATAGCATGTTCTGCGGCTCCTAGTGAATTTGAAGTTACATTATCAAAAGTAAACAAAAGTGTGAATGTGCTCATTTATACCCAAAGATGCTGTTATTGTACTTGTAGTGAGCTCTGATTTTTGGAGTGGGATATTAAAACGATCTGGCATTCAGATGAATATTAAAAGAATCCTGTTAAACTGAACGGAATTAATCACAGTATCACAGGCACAGAATGACTGCTGGAACAATGATAAACATATGTGAATAATTCTATTCTTACAACCTACCTCCCTGAGGCCTAATGACAACCCCCACAATTCTTCCAGCTTTCCAAGCATGCTGCAGTCTCGCACCCTTTCCCCAATACAGGCAGAGGATACAGACCCAGACACTATTCTAGCCAAGCCCTCATGTCAACGTCATTCCACAGCATGTTGAATAAGGAAGGCCTTATTCTCTCTTTAGAAACACCGCTGGAGGTGGGAGTTAGAACCCCCTAGTCACCCTAACCATTCAGTTTCATACAAATACGACGTCAAAAACAAGCTAAAAGCAAACATCACCAAGACAGTTTCAATTTCCTAATCTGGGAAAAGGCCCACCATGTGCCTAGCCCATGAGGCAGCTAACCCAGATTAAAAAAGCTCCTCCAAATGGCAATTAATTAGAATAATCAGTTATTGAACATTGCTGGAACGATAGCACAGCAGGTAGGGCATTTGCCTTGCATGCAGCTGACCCGGGTTAGATTCCTCCGTCCCTCTCCGAGAGCCCAGCAAGCTACCGAGAGTATCCTGCCCACACAGCAGAGCCTAGCAAGCTCCCCATGGCATATTCAATATGCCAAAAATAGTAACAACAAGTCTCACAATGGTGACGTTACTAGTGCCAGCTCAAGCAAATCAATGAACAATGGGAGGACAGTGCTACAGTGCTACCTTTATTAAAAATGCCCCCCCTTTATGTGAATGAGACCTGGCCATAGTGTGACTTTCTTCCATTTGCTCCCACCTTAATACTGAGAAAGTAGGCATGTACTCTGTGTCTCCATCCTTATCCCCTAGAGGAAGCAGACTGCTAGGCTCCGTAAGATAACTTTTGGTGCTATCCATTGACTACTCGAAGACTGATTCTCAGGAAATTGGGACTCAGGGATATGCCTCCAATTTTATTTTAACTTAAGTAAAAATTTCACTTAAAAATCTTAAATGATTGGTTGTAGTCTCTGAGATGGTACCTGAATGTTGCATACTCCTGTTCCCATGGTGAACTTGTGAGACCAAGTGGTACTGAATTAAAACCAGTAACATGTTAATGGTTTATCATATCCCTACAAAGAAACTTTCAGCAGCTGACATTTCCTCCCAAAGAGTTCCACAAGGATGATGCACATTTTCAGAGGAAGAGGGACCAAAAGTCCTGAGGAACCTGCATTTTTTTTTCTGAGCTTAAAGAGAGAATTTAAGTTTATAATTGCAACAGGCCCTGGAGTTTCATCTTCAGAGACCTCTACTGTTCTCTGCCAATTTACTTGTCATTCTATACGGCGCAGACCAAAGAACTCATAGAAGTACCTTTCCTAGTAGTAAACTTAACTATCTCTAAATGATCAAAACACTCTTCTTAGTATTATTATTCCAGGCTAAATGACCCTGTATTTTCTTTCCTATCTTTCTCTCTCTCAACTAATATCTTAATATCTTTTTATTTTATTTTTAGTTCTTACTAAGAACTGAAGTGATAGCACAGCGGTAGGGCCTTTGCCTTGCAAGCTGCTGGTCCAGCAGAGCCGGGTTCGATTCCTCCGCCCCTCTTGGAGAGCCTGGCAAGCTACTGAGAGTATTTTGCCCGCACGGCAAAGCCTGGCAAGCTACCCGTGATGTATTCAATATGCCAAACACAGTAACAAGTCTCACGATGGAGACGTTGCTGGGTCCGCTTGAGCAAATCAACGAACAACGGGAGGACAGTGCTATAATGCTACTAAGTAATATAAGACATTATATTATATTGACATTTACTACGAAAGGTAGCAGTAGGATGGTAAATATTTTCCTCAACCTTTGCCCACTGGAATTCCCAGTTCTACACTCTAGGTAGCAGTTAAAGGTGTTCACATCATTGATAAACATTGGGGATCCTAAAATTACATCAGTTTCTCAGTAACGTGTGTAGTTAACACTGAATATGTGGGAGAGGGACTCTCCTGTAGGCTTTGAGAGCATCCAGCACACTACATGGTAATATACTCTTCTCCCACACACCCCAGTCTAACGGTGGAGTTATCTGAAGTTTTGTCTACTTTGGAAGTATGGAATGAAAACACTAAAATAATACCTTGAGTTCATCCAACCTCATGCCCTTACAAAGTGGGAGTTCCTGAGAAGTGAACTGAGTTAGAGGGAGAATGACTGTCACTATGGTGCCTTATTTTTCTTTCAAGCACCCTTGCATTCTTGGGAGCAGGCTAACTTTTCCTTGGCTGTATCTATGTGCATAACCTCATTTATCTGTATTAAATCCTCCTTCATTCATTTGAATATCTTTATACATTTTTCTGATTAATTTTTTTTCCTTTTAGCAACTGACTCCACAGTGATATCAATGTATTAGCAACTGACCCCAAATAGAGAGATCGCAACAAATATATTTAATCTACTTCTACTTCTTATCCTCCTTCATGAAGCTCATTTTAAAGTATTTAGTAAGATATTTCACTGGAACAATCCATAATCCTCTTGGTATTTATGGAAATCTAGCTCTTCTGGAACTGAATCAAAGTATCTAGATTTCAATTTAGCACATTGGACTAGATTTATCTTAGGACTGCTCCCAGTGAGTCTACTCCACCCTCATTTACTGTGGAGCCTGGGATGGAGGGATAATCACGGTTATTGCACCAGCATTAACAATAAGTGCAGAAATAATAATAATGAGCTACTGCTGTTTGAGCATCTACTGGTATGTGCTCTACATACACCCAATCTTCAAAATATCATCAGGAGCTCTGTTAAATCATCTTCACTTAGACAACTTGCTGGACCCATCAACACCTGCATTCATTTTAACCTTTGTAGTTCACCCACTCTTCAGCTCTATAATTTACTTATCACTTCTGCTCCTACCAGTCAACTTCTAGGCATTGTAAGAGTCAGTTGAAAACTTTGTTAAATGTTTTAGAAATATTCTTTTTTTTTGCTTAAAAATCAGTTGCATTTGTGTAGAAAAAAACTAAGCTAAATGAGGAAGAGAAAGGTAATATATTCTGGGCTTACTATTTTGAAAATTCCTGCTTCATTTGAAAGGAATTCAGACAATAGCACATCCCAGGTGTGATTTATGCAGCAAAGAGATAGAGCCTCCTTATCCAAAAGCCCTGTCCTCAGAGGGCCTTCACATTATTCAAATAATGGCACATAAAGGCAAGTATTTTAAATATAAAATAATGCTTAAGGTCTTCCTTTATTATGACTCTTTGCTTTATATAGCGATTGAGCACATCAACCATTCAACCTGATGAAGTGAATTAAGAGAACTTCTGCCCAAATGTATTCCACTTTAGAGATAAGTAAAGACTTACGAGATCAGGAACTTGGTCATGGTCACACCTCTCATTATTTTATAGCTACAATTTAAAATCAAATCACCTGCCTTCAAAGCTATGATCTTGATCTTGATCAAGAACTATCTCCTCATTTATACTCCCAAATTGAATATCCAAAGCACCATGTAGTGTCTTAGAATTCCTTCTTCGCTTGTAATGCCCTGCTGTACAAAGTTGAACAATAAAGTGTGAAATAACCGGTTTTAAATCTTTTAGCTCCATATGGGTTTCACTGGGCTTTTCAGAAAGGATGTTTCTCAGCAAAGTTGGCTATGAAGCAAATCTCTAAAGCAAACCTTCAGTGCTCATTGGTTCTATTCTGTAACTCAAGCCACAGAATCTGTCTATGGAAATGATACAAATTTTTAGCAAGGAATGTGAACTGAGTGAGTTGGAGGTTTTAGTCTCTCTCCAATCAGCATGAATTCGTTATAATATTTTTCAGACACTGGGATCAATGTTTATTTTACTTATTCATCTCTATTCCCTTCTCTTGACTTATTCATGCCTGAAATTTCCTCACACTCTATTTTGTCTAATAGAATGCTAAGGACCAGATTGGGGCAGGAGGGGTGGGAGAAAGGAAGAATTTAAGTGTTTTGTTTTGTTTGTTTTTTTGGGTCACACCCAGCAATGCTCAGGGGTTACTCCTGGCTCTGCACTCAGGAATTGTTCCCAGTAGTGCTTGGGGGACCATATGGGATGCCAGGAATTGAACCAGGGTAGACCACATGTAAGGCAAACACGCCTGCCCTCTGTTCTATTGCTCCAGTTCCAAATTTAAGTGTTTTAAGAGTTACATAATATACCCCAAATTGATATTATGCCGCTAAGTAATTATGCCACTAAGCTTCACCTTCACCAAAAACCATAAAATTCAATTAATTCCTTTGTGCTTTCAAAAATACAATTAAGCTACATCCATAATCCTCCTATTTTTCAATGTAACTGGAGTTTGTCCCTGGGAATCTTAAAAGAAAGGAAAAATTATGTAAATGTCAGGTTACTTTTTTTCTCCAAATCCTGAGAAATCATAGCACTCCTAACACTATATGTTAGTTTCCCAAGAAGTCACAGAGAAAGGTCCTGATGTCCAGCTTCCCCCTAGTCCTCACTTGCAGGCTAGTTCACTTAAGCCATTTAGTCTAGCCAACAGTCATCCTATTTTTGAAGTATGG